GGGGAAGAAACATTGTGGTAGAAAGTTCGTTTCAAGGGATAATAGAGAGCTTTCCAAACCTAGAGAAAGATATCAATATTCAAGTACAAGAAGAGTATAGAACACCAAGCAGATATAACACAAATAAGACTGCCTCAGGACATTTAATAATAAAACTGCCAAAGATCAAGGGTAAAGAAAGTATTCTAAACGCAGTAATAGAAAAACGAAACAAGTAACATACAAAGAACTCCAATATGTCTGGCAGCGGACTTCTCACTGGAAACTTTGCAGGTCGGTAGAGAGTGGCATGATGTATTTAAATTGCTGGAGGAGCAAAACTTTTATCCTAGAATAACATATCTGGTGAAAATATACTTCAAACACAAGGAAAAATCAGATGTTTGCAGACAAATAAATTCTTAGGTATTTAGTTAATACCAAACCTGTTCTACATGAAATGCTAAGGGGAATTCTTTAGTCTGAAAGAAAAATATATTACTGAACAATAAGAAATCATCTAAAGGTACATAACTCACTGGTAATAGCAGATATATAGACAAACACAGAATATTATAATACTGTAGTAACTGTGGTGTGTAAAGTTCTCATCTCTTGCAGAAAGATTAAAAGATGAACCTATCAAAAATAATAAGTATGACAACTTTCCCAGACATAGATGATATTATAATAAATTATAAAGAGAAACAACAAGTTAAAAGTTGAGGAGCTGAAGTTAAAGTGTAGAGTTTTTATTAGCTTTCTATTTGCTGGTTTGGTAGTTTGCTTCTTTATGAAATCAATGTTAAATTGTCATCAATATAAAAAATGGATTGTAAGATGTTATTTGCAATCTTCATGGTAACTTTACATTAAAAAGCCTCCAGCATATACACAAAAATAAAAAGCAAGAAATTAATGCTTTTGAAAATCATTATGAGATTTTCAATCATATGAGAAAATCATCTTCACACAAAGGGAGACAAGGAGGAAGGAAAGAAGAAAAATAAGATGGCAAAACAAACAGAAAAGAAATTTTAAAATGGCAGAAATAATTTCTTACTCCTATCAATTTTTGTCAATAATAACATTGACTGTAAATGGACTAAACTCTCTAAATCAAAAAATATGGAGTGACTGAAGGGATTAAAACAAAAAACAAGACCCAATGATCTGTTGTCCACAAGGAACATACTTCATCTATAAAGACACACAGACTGAAAATAAAGGAATGGAAAAAGATATTCTATGCAAATGGAAACAAAAAAGAGCAAAGAAACTATATTTATATCAGATGAAATAGATTTCAAAAGTATAAAAAGAAAAAAGGTTATTATACAATGATAAAGGTGTTCATTCAGCAAAAGGATGTAGCAATTGTAAATATATATACACCTAACATTCAAGCACCCAGATATATACTACAAATATTATTAGAGCTAAAGTGAAAGACAGGCTCAAATACAATAAAAGCTGGAGACTTAACACCCTACTTTCAGCATTGGGCAGGTCATCCAGACAGAAAATCAAGAAACATCTAACTTAATATGCACTATAGACCAAATGGATCTAATAGATGTTTACAGAATATTTCATCAAATGGCGGCAGAATACACAATCTTCTCAGCATGTGGATCATTCTCAAGGATAGGTTGTATATTAGGCTACAGAAAAGTTTTACATTTAAGAAAAATAAAATTATATCAAGTATCTTGTCTGACCACAATGAAATAAAACTAGAAATAATAAGAAGAATTTTGGAAACTCTGCAAACACATGGGAATGAAACAGTATGCTCCAGAATGACCAGTAAGTTCATAAATAGATTCAGAAGGAAATTTAAAAAATTATTTAAACAAATGAAAGTAGAAATGCTATGAACCAGAACCTATTGGATATGGTAAAAGCAGCAACAAGAGAAAAGTTTACAGCAATAATTTCCTACATCAAAAAGTAGAAAAGTTTCAAATAAACATTAGGATTCATCTTAAAGAACTAGAAAAGTAAGAGCATAATAAACCTAAAATCAGCAAAAGAAAAAAATATTAAAGATCAGAGCAGAAATAAATAAAATTGAGATCAAAATACAAAAGATCAATGATATTTGGCCATTTTAACAATATATAGATTAACAGCTATTTGTTTTAAATTAACAATGATATTCTTCACAGAATTATTTTTTTAAAAACCTATTTAAAAATCCATATGGAACAAAAAAGAGCCCAAATAGCCACAGCACTTCTAG